TCAACCATGAATTTGTGTTGACTTTTGTTGTTGTGGATTGTTTGCGTACAACTAGGAAGCAACAGAAAGAAATGCGTAGATGAATCAATAGTTGGTTTATCTCATATTTACCTTCACACCACCAGTTGCAAAACACATTTTTTAAGTTTAAATTCAAACCCTGCTGCCGACGAAAACCCATACAATATTATTATTATTAAGCTAATTAGCAAGATAAAAAACAAGAAAACCTTGCAAGCAATGCAATCGCAGAGACTCTTTTAACTTAAATTCCGCTCTCGAATTGTGTCCGCAATTGGCGCTCTTGATTCTTCTCTTCTCTCCCCCTTTTTTTTTTTTTTCCTCACGCGGCTCTCTGGCTTTACTTTCTGCTGCTTTTTTATTATTTTATTGACCAAATATTTCGGAGATGATTACTACACAGTGATTATTGTGTTTATTGTCATCATAGAATTATATAGAAAAAGCAGAAACCCTAATAAACCAATGCATCAATGACGGATTATATCTGTCCATTCTACCTACTACACCATAAAATACATACAAATACATACGTCTATATAATACGACGTTTAAGTCATACGCACATATATATATATATATATATTAATTTCTTTGGCCATTCAGATAGGCTCAAAGCTCAAAACTAGAATGGCTTTTACAAAAGAAAAAACTATATATTTGTTTGAAGTTTGAACTCATCTCTTGACGTCAACTCCATAGCAATTTGCTTGTTTTCTATTATAAAAGAAGAAAAAAAAACAGATATATATTAACGCATGACAGCAAAGTTTTGAAGTGTAGGAAAAACGTTAACGTAGATTGACAATCAAGTGTGACAACAAATTCCATCACCTTTTGTAATTTAGCCAGCAAGGAAGCAGGATATTACCTTGATGAATTGAGTTCTCATGACTTTGAGGTTTGCTTCGAGTTCTAAATTCCTTTGACCAATTTCATCGACATGTCGTCTACTTTGAATTGTTCAAGCTCAGGCAGCAAGGAACGAGTCATCAATTTGCTACGTGGCCATATCTCCACCTTTAAAAAAAATAGCTTAAAATGCCATGTCTATATATTAGGGAACGGTCTAGATTATCACCAAAAATAAAAAATGGATTTTTCCAGTTTCACTTAACCAATTTGACGTTTGAGATTGACAAGTGTGATGACTAAGCCTCACGGCTTGGTTTGCCGGCTGGCAATTTTGTCCTGCTCAGTTGGCTACAGTATCCTACGTGGAAAATTATGGCCCCACACGGTTTCAAATTGGATCAACTCATGACCTGTAAATTATCAGTTCATGGCACTTGGATTGGAACTAGACATCAAAATATCATATTTGTTGAGTTATCAAGATCATGAGTGTGTGTCTAGGGACCGAATGCGTGAATAGTTTAGTTGAGAGGGGGCCATACGTACATAACTACTCTCTAATTTTCTATGACACACAACAAATGTTACTATTTAATAAATCATGACGACTCAACGAGTATAGTATTTTCGTATATTTATATCGAGCGCAAAGTCGTATCGCAGCTGAACCTCTCTTTTTGGTCCGTAGATGGTCTAGAAAATGCTCATGTATAGATACCCTAGCTATATCTGATAAATTCTTCTTCCCAAGTTACGTTGAAATGGATGTTGCATGAGAATTTATCTCTGATTCATGCATGCATAAAAAGTAAAAACTTGATAAAAGTAGAAAGCACAATTCTCATGAAATAAAACTAGGGCTCTACAAATGAGTGTCAGTACAAATTCTTCATTGAATAACTGCCTGCCTGCCTGCCTGCACGTCTCTTATATATCCAGTCATTCGAAAAAAGAAGGCCAAAAACTTATGAAAACTAATAAATAAATGCAGTCATATGATGAGACTTGGCTAGCCTCAGAAATATATATACACGTAAATTTATTTATTTATATGTAACATGCTTTCATTCATTGGCATTATTATATATTTTGGCATATTGCTTGAGAATTCATGTGAGTGTTTGTTTAATTTTGACCATTCATTTGGGATGGGACAGGTGGTTGATTGGAGAGAGCCTGAAAACTAACGGCTTAAATGGTCGACAACTATGCAAATCATTTAAATTTCAAGTGCAAGAATAACAATACATTAGTACCTGAACCCAAATAGAGAAGTTTAATTTGTTCGAGTGATTATAGAATATTACAGTAGTACGATCACGTGATACATTTTGTACACGTATTAATTATATCATTATATTTATAACACGTGTACAATATATACTACGTAATTATATCATCATATTCTATAATTTCTCGAATTGCTGATGTTTCATTAAAATAACGTTTAGCAAAAATAGATGGACATTTTAGGGTTGGATTTCAGGCTTCATATTGGGCAAACTAGATGTTGTTGAGCTCAATGTAGTTGACAATGCATCACACCCACAGAAAAAGATAACCAAAAAAGGAAAAAACGAAAGATAATCTGGTTGACAATGCAAGCAAATGTGCAATCTCATAGAGTCATAATCTTTATAAAAAGGAAAAACGAGAAGTCCAAATTTGAATGGTTGTGTTTTGATTTTTTTTTATCTGAGGTTGGATCGGTGCTGCCGCTATCATTTAATCTTGGTACAAATTAATTAATTATATGATGTGCACAACATTTTGAGACAAGTGGAGCCCTACCAAAATCAGATCAATCATTAAATCCCATCACACAGTCATAAAAATAAAATTTAAAAAAAAAAAGAAAAAAAAAAAAGGGGGTTCACAGATCTCATGTTTCCACAGTCAATTTACAACCGCAGCTCAAAATTCAAATCTCAACCACAACCTCAAACAATTTAAAATACATTTTTGGTAAAATTAAATTAAAAATAACACTCAAAACGCGTTTGCAAAACGGTGGTTGGGGCTTTTTGCTTGTGTGTCTACAGTGACGGGTGCGTTTGGAGAAAAAATTCGAGGGGGGGGTATAATCGTCTTTTAGATCCCAGGGTCCCAACTGGAGCGTTGTTGCGGTAGGTGCGGACGCGTACAGGGACGCGGTGCACAACACGAACGTGGGGCCCTTATCAACGCCGACGATCCAGCCGAGCAAGACGTGACGCGTGGGCCCTCCAGAACACACAGTTGCATGGGGCATGGTGACTGTGTCGCTTTTTGGAATTTGACCCAGTTTGGTGCGGGACCCATCTACGTGCTGCAGAGAAAGAGCAGCAGCAAACAAACATCTCCTGATTTTTACCATCATGGTAATGATGGGGTGAAAAGAAATGATGATGATCGTGCCTCAGCATCGACGGTGATAAGGACGCGTATGAGGGTAACAACATGCATGGGATTCATCTTCATCTCATCAATCCAAATCAAATCTTACCCCCTTTGCCATAAATGCTGCCGTTTTGGGAAATTTATGAAGAAAAGTAAACTACGTCTAAATTCCTTCGTTACATTAATCCGATCTGTTTTATTACTGCCGGCCGGCGGATTTACATTACTTCAAAAATATAATAAGTCTTGTTACATCATGTAAATGAAGCACTCAGAAGTCTTTGCTTGCATCATAGCTGGAATTAGACAATAATTATTATTAAAACTAGTTTGGCTTAGTTACAATGCAGCAATATGCCTATCTATTTTCAAAATTCATGTCATAAGTTATTGGTGATCTTCAACGACTTGGAATATTAGTTGGAGACATCGCTAAAGTTAATAAAGGACCAATGAGATTATTCAATGGTCATGGATAATTTATAAAAAGTTAGTTGATGGTATAGTAAGGTAATGAGAGAGAATGGCTCTCTGATGAAACCCCTAGCCATCTTCCTACTCCATCCTTTCCTCTCTTTCTCTTCATTTTTCCTATGAATTCTTTGTTTTTTGGGGTTTTTTTTGGTGATGTAGTTGAAGCAGTCGCCGTGAAAACGTTATTGTCTTTTAGCCAACGCATATAAGGATATGGCTCAAGTTGTCAACCTTCAAAATATATTTGGAGCTACGAAGCAGG